GAGCGTCACAATAGATGTTAAAAAAATTTAAAATGTATAAGACTGAATATTTATGCATTTAGGTGGTGATCGCCTTACGCTACCTATCCACCAACGTACATCAGGACGTTCTGGCGGATACCATCGGCACGAGCCATGAAGAGGTTTCCACTGCAATCCGAGATGTCGTGCAAGCGCTGAACAATCCCGTTATCGTACGGCACTTTATCCGCTGCCGATTAGGGGACACTTACTATTGCCGAAAAAGCGCCGCCGCTTTTGCACGAACAGGACCTTTTCCGAACGTCATTGGCGCTGTCGGCGGAAGCTGCATACGGATACAGGAGCCAGCGGATTCTGGGTGGCAATATTACTGCCGCGAAGGCTTCACAGCCTTGAACGTCCTGGCAGCCGTTGATGCCCGCGGAAGGTTCGTGTATGTGAATGCGAACTTTCCGGGGTCTGTCCATGATGCCAGCGTTTTTACCGCTTCGCAGGTGAAACATGCCTACGAAGAAGGTAAAGTTCCGCATGGTTACGTCTTTATTGGAGACGCTGAGTTTGCTAATGGGAATGACGTTATCACACCCATCAGAAATCCAACAACTAAGCAGGAAGTCTCTTACAACGAATGGCACTTGAAGATGCGATCTGTTGTCGAGGACACGTTCGTGTTGTGGAGGAAGAAGTTCTCTATTTTGAACGATAAGATACGTGTGGCCCCAAAACATGCAGCTAAAGTAATTATAGCATGTGCAGTTCTTTATAATATGATGATGACTATGGGATGCCTGCGTTCAAAGAAACTTGGGCACAGACTAGCCATTATTCGAAATCCGCCAGATGACTGCACTGACATTCGATCATATTTGGTCAGCTGTTTGTAGTTCTTTTTTGATCTCGACGTTTATGTCAGTTTGTTTCCTTGTAGTTATAAATAGTTGTAAAAACTTACTTTTCGTGTATTACAAACATGAAAGTCAACGAATTTCAAAAAAGAAGTTGGGAAAGATGATGACAGGAAAACGGATTTTAGAACAAATGCGGGCGCTGATTGCATCGGGACCTAGGCACATCCTGCCCCGTATTCCACTCTACATCCCTGGACCACTCCTTACATTGAGTTTTGTCTGGAGCATTGT